TGCATGTAGGCCTACTTAATTATTACAACGCTCTCAATTGGATTTGATTGGCCTTAATCTCGATTTTTTTTTTTTTTTTGGTGGGGGTTGGGGTTTTTTTTAAGAAATGGGAGAACTTTGTTCATACATATATGGATGAGTGTGTGACATTTGTATATTATTTTGTAAGTGTACATCAAACTCTCAAAAGAAAATTTTCTTTAATTGTTCTCGTATTCATAATTTAGGACAAATTTAATTGCATTCTGATACTACAGTAGACCTGGCGTGGTTACCTTACCAGTGCTTGTCTTTGTCCAGAGAGAGGCAGGAAGCTGTGTGACTGAAAAAAAAAAAACCACCTCGTAGATCAGTAGAGGGCGCTAATAAAGAAAGCAATTACATTGGCCGTATTCGACTGGTCGTTCTTCGTTAAACCACGCCCACATGGGCAGTGGTAAAATTAACGAAGATGACCAGTCGAATAGAAAACGGTAGTCACTTCTTAGCGGTCACAACAGCGAGGTTTTATGAATATGTATCCACAAACCGTTCGCATTATAGTTTTGCTAAACTGACCAATCGCATTCCGGTTACGTTAATTTTCGTTGTTTCGAAGTCTATTTTTATTAATACGAACCAGTCGAATGAAAAATTCGTACTCAACGAAATGAACCAGTCGAATAAGCCCATTGTTTTCCCTAGCAACAGAGTCAACACCTTACTTGCGACTTTGTACTTCGGTTCGATGATGGTTTACTGTTTACCACCAGTGTTTACATATGGATCAGAAAGAAGGTATAGGCCTAGGTCTATAGATCGGTCCTTGGCCTAACTAGGGGCCTTGTTGTAGTTCTCAGTAAACCTTACCATGTAATGTTTTTGCAAATTAAATGTAACCTTTTGGCTTCCCTTAGTAGTTAGGCCTAGGCTAGGCTAGTAGGATAGGCTGCCTCTTCTCTACTCCTATTCTTAATCTTCTTATCTATTCTAAGGTGAGGCCTCTCTATGCTGTAGGCCTTGCTAGGCCTAGGCTAGGCTACTTTCCTATTCACTCATTATAAAGTTATGCAAATGAGGAAGACTAAGCCTAGCCTGGGGCCTGGACTATAGGCCCTATACTTCTTGAAAGCTCTTTTGATAGGTATTTAGAATGGATGCAAAACAGTCTTCACTGTTACTACTCTAGGTCAAAACCACTAAAAACTGCCAATTCACTTTTCAAAAATTTAGAAAAAAAAGTAAAATCAAAATTGTCTTAATAACTCAAAAATTATTTATGACAAATTGAATAATGATTCAGAAAAATATGCATACGTATTCTTGTCAACTTTTATTTTTGTCACCAACATTGTCATTATAGGAAACAGTTAAAAATCATTCATGAAACCTATGTTACGATGCGTTTATAAAATAAAATTCTCATGTAAAATGTTCATTGTAGCTAATTCGCATCGCAAATACACTTTCACTGTTGTTCTCCACAATAGTGTGCAGACAATTTTTCTATAATTACACTTTTTGGGCACTTTTGCATATTTTTATTTAGTAAACTGTATTTTTGTGATGGTAATTTAAATGTAAACGAATAAATATTACATATACTTTTTATATTATTCCCATGATATTTGTTCTAAACTCTTTAGTTACGAACCAAAAGATTACCACTTGTGTGCACGTCTTGTAACCTGCAATAAAAAGATTCTTAGTTAAATATTCAAAAATGTACCGGTCAAAACTGATAACGAATGTTACGAGGAAGTGTAATGTATGTTACATCTCCAACAAACATAAGCACTCATGATTAAAAATATTCCGAAATTGTTAAGTGCCAACATCTTCAACCTGTCAAAAACATTTAGTATTTGATACCAACATTTAACCAACCAAATAAAAATAATCCTGTTTTAAAAACACACCCAGGATTTAAGCAATAGATAAACATGCTACCATCGAACTTTAAGATCTGCAATCAAAACGCAAAGACCACATAATTTCATTAACTATTTAGTCAGCTTGAATCTAATCTCTTGTATCCATGGTGATATACTGTTATGATATCTATAAGAAGCTAACAAAAAGTGTTTAAAAAATAGGGTTGCTATTAAATTTAACCCAAAGATATCAAATTTAATCCCAATACAGCCACGTAACCTACGTTACTTCCTACGGTACCTAAAGTTCCCGTTTAGAGAGAAGAAATTGAATCGAAAAGCTCAGATTCTAATTCACTGTCAAATGTAACTTTCAAGTAAACATTGATTATTAAAAAACAAGCAATTGTCACATTGTTAACATCTTATTTTAAAGAAAGTTTTTTAATTAAGAGGAGGAGACACGAAACCTACATTACCATTATACCGTATGTGGTAAATAATTTGTGTCTATCATTAAATCAATCTTACTTACGGAATATAATCTTTGTAAAGGACTATTTGGTGCATGCTTACAATGGCTAATTTTCTCAAAATATTATACTAGGCCAAAGAATTTAATAGTGAATTGAAAATTGAAACATTACATACAGTGTTATGAAACATACGTTACGATCTAATCACATGGTTAACAATCAGTGCACTCCCAAGGAAACTGTTCTTGATTGAAAACTTTATTTTAAAAAACAAAAACAAAAAAATAAAACAAATAAAAACAAATAGTCACTTCAAGTTTTTAATGCAACGTTTTCAGATACTATTGTATAAAAATATCAAGTTATTATAAAGAAATGACAAAAGCCTTATCTTCAACAAATTTTGGTCAGGTTTCCCCAGAAATATCAACACGTTACTTCTACTACGCCACAAAGTAAAGAGTGTCTCGTTGCCAACCGCACACCCTCAACGTAAAATGGCAGTTTACAAAGCATGTCAATGCTGTCGTGATTTTAGTTAATTTTACATAGGGCTTAATAAATACTACAGTAACGTATGTTTCGGTAACGTAGGTTTTATTTTAACTTCATCGTGTGTTAAAAATATGTTGCAATCACCATAGCCACCTACAATTTACTACCTGAAGTACAGATATAATGCTATTACATACACCCAATATCTCGCATGCATCAACCGTTCTATTTTTGGCTATGGTGGTCACGTACTGTAGGTTTCATTTCTTAAGTATAGCTTTAAACTGGTGATTTATATTGCCCTAAAATTTACCAAGGATGTAAAAACTTAGTCACTTGATTTTTATTAATAATGAATAATTCATTTTTAATTGAGTATGCATAATAATATGTCCAACTGCATGACCCGGTAACGTGTTTCATCAAATGTTGCGACACAATTAAATCATTGTAGACAATAAACAAAATTTGTTATATTAAACTGATTTTAAAGTGACACACCTCCTTATTTTTAAATTGTATCAATATATTTAAATTTAGTGATTTGCGACATCAATGTATTGTCCCGTTTACAATATTCAATGAACCATATCTCCAAAAGTAATCATCTAAATGCTGAAATTTCAGGGCATTCTAGCTTCACATGTTGTTACGATGTATCAAAAGTAAAATGTTTGCGAAACACTATTTAGCTACTTGGTAAATTTTAGTGGTTTTGACCCTACTGTAGGCTAGTGTTAGGTGGTGTTAGTGAGTGAAAAGATCATGTTGTGTTGGGGAATCTAGGCCTAGGCCATATGGTCAAAACACAGTTTGCTGAATGCCATATTCATAATTCATAATTCATAATTTTATTTCACTCAAAACGTAATGAGTCTGGTAGACATAAAAGGGAACATGTCCCTGTACAAGATGCCTACAGAGAAACAATGATAAAGGCAAAGACATATTGATAAAAAAATTAATAATAATAATAACATCAGATAATAATAATAAAAAAAAGTAATAATAATGAAAATAACAATAATAATGAATGAATATCAAGATATTGCATTGAAGAGAATTAAGTTAGTTATTAAAACAAGATTTTGCACAGTACGAAGCAGTGGCGCCAGCAGAAAGTCAGGGCCGGCCAGAATTGCAAGAATTTAGAAGCCATTCCAATCAATGCGATGCAATTGCACTTTTATTCATTTTAATATTATAGCGGATTATTGTAGTTTAATGATTCTTATTCTGTAAATCAAACATTATGCTTTTTTATCTGCTTATATATTGATAGGTAAAGATTCAAGATACCTGTAGTTTTAATGAGTGAAGGGTGTGTCGTATATTAACAATACCATGTGTCACTGATGATGATGTGTCACTGATGATGATGAGAATCATGGTTAATTTTTTACATTGTGATGGCCAATTAGGAAATTCATGTCATTTGGAACTTCTGACCTGAGTCTTTTCAGCTCGAAAAGACCCAGATTTGCTGGTGTATAGACTTTTTTTTATACAATTCTAAAAATAGACCTAGGGCATGAGTCCAAAAATCAAGGCTAAGAAAAGTAAAAGACTTGATCAAGGAATAAATTTAGATGTGGCCTTCTGTTTAAGGTGGCCTAGGCCATAGCCTATTAGCTAGATGAAAACATCACAAAATTTAACCTGTCAGCACCGACCAAAAAAATGTTTAATGTGTATTCTCTCAAAAGCTTTCCAAAATGTTTTTAATTTCTTAAGTTTTGACGATGCTATCGTCAGAATAGTAAATTTATGACAAGTTCTTCAAACACAACTATTCATCATTTCAAATGTAGTATTTGCGCGAGTTCAAGAATTTCCATACACACAGCTAAAATTATAAAATGCAGAAAATAAATATAGCAACAATTATAACATATTCTGTAATATTATTTTTATATTTGTAGTTGGTATAGCAGCTAGATACTCACTGACATCTAAGCCTGATTTTTTTGGGGGAAAAGAGAGAGAGCAGCTACAGGCTGCAAAAACTGTTTGTTTTCTTTTGTCCTGAAAAACTATTGTGTATGTCCATGGAGGTATACCTCCATGGTATATCTAAGTGCATTGTGTTGCAAAACCACTCCAAGTCATTGATCTTTGTTTATTTTACTCTTTCTGTAAAAACACTCAATGCAATGTTTGAGTACTGCGTCATGGTAATCACTAGTCTTCAAGACAGTTTTCCCAATCATTGATCATGACACAGTCGATTTGCTACCCTTTGCTCATTGTTGTAAGGTTTTTGCAGTAAATTTGTTGCCAAGATAATTAAGTGGATACTGGCAGATGGTTGGAACTCTGACTATAGGCAAACAGTACATGTTTAGTATTGTGGAACTGATTCTCAAGACTACCAAGAATAAGTCTACTGTACAATATTGATCATGGCCAACAGAAGTTAAGATTTTCTTGTTTTTTTCTTGTCAACTTTGTTGGGTTTTATACTGTGAGTTATTTACTTCCATGCATGGCAACTAAAAAATTCAAGCCCAAGAGTGAAAACAGAGTTGTAACTCTAGCTAAGCCCATGACAACACATGAGAAGGTGTATCGAATGTTGAAGACACCACAAACTCCACACTCTCCATCTCCTGCTGATGATAAGATACATGCGCTTGCATTTTCATCATTTTCTAAAGAAGCCAGACAGCTTTCGGAGACTTCTGCGTTGTCTAGATCACCATCATTGCTAACAGGTCGCAATGGAAGTGCTAGACCTTCTAGTCTTGAGGTGAATCCATCTATTGCAGGTACATATTGTTTGTTGCTAAATTTTTCTACTACCAACCTGACCCCTTTTCCTTGTACTGATGTTTTACTTTGTGTCAGTGATGTGAAGCTTTGCTTAAAGTTGATGTCAGTGGTATTGGTGCTTTGCTCGAGGTATGGATCCAGAGGGTGGGAGCCACTGGGGGAAGAAGCCCTCCAAAGCTCCGTGGAGGCTTCTGTTTTTACCTGCATTCTTCATGTTGTTGTCCTCAAGTTGTCGTCATTGGTAGTAAATTGTTTGTTAGTTACTGATAACTAAAGTTTGGTATTATTCTGATTGGTTTCAAACTCCTTATCAATTCTCAGAGAAAAATCACATGCACGGTGGGGAGGCTACAGTATGCTTTTACTGCTCAGCGTAAAATGAGCATTTTTAGTTATTTTAACTATTATTTACATATAATGTAATTAACATGGAGAACTCAAGATTATTAGCCAATAGGTACAGTACATTTTGTCAATTAACATTATGTTTTTAACATTCTTTTAACATTATGTAATTTTTACCCATTAATAAGCACTGTATTGATCTGTAGATACTCGTAATTCGTGTATGATTCTACTTTCGTCAAAAAGTAGACTTAGGGTGTAGGTAGTGTAAAAAAGTAGCCTAATAGGTATGTATAGAAATATTGTGAAAGGTTGTAGCTGTCATTTTACCAAAGAGTATAGAACTGCAAGATGTCCAACTGCCCTTATTTTGTATGCAGGCAATCAAACATTAAAAAGTATTGCCACGAAGGTGCGTGTCCTTAAAAAGAATGTAAAAGGCGTTCGTATCGAACATGCGCTGCGTTTCGAAACACGAACATACGTTCTATAGATTGGAAGCGCAGCACTTCTTTGATTCAAACTCCTTTTACATTCTTTTTTTTAAGGACACGCCCCTTCCTGGTGTTAATTTTTGAGATAGGATTGCGTTCCAACAAAACCTCAACAGTCAGACCTGCTGTTATATACTCTTTGATTTTACTTTCTGCTGCTCATCCAGAGTATAAAATATAATAAAAGCTGCTGTCATAATGTACACTGAGGCAGCCTCTCTGGATATTTCATTTAGAGTTTCTTTATATGTTTCTATAATGTTTACATTTTTTAACCATCCGACCAAATTTAACCATCACAGATCATGTAATGCCGTGGAATTTGTTGGATGTATTACTGTTACATGCAATTTCAAAATGTGTACTTTAAATTTCAATATAATAAAGAGAAATTAATTCAATTTTTAATTGTTATTAATGACATAAAATTTGTTCAACAGTAACTCCAACTGATTTTGCAAAGTGACATGAAGATGATGAGGGCCAGGCAAAGACCAAAATAACTTTCTATTGGTGAATACTCATTATGTTTTGCAGATACAACTCTTGCCTTGGTAGAAGCAGCAGAGAAAGGCAGTTTAAATGAAGTACATAATCTCTTGGTCGGAACATACTTTGATGCTGATTACAAAAGGGATGAAGATTTTCGAACAGCTCTTCAGAGAGCCTGCCAGTATGGCCATACTAAAGTAGTTGAAGAGCTTTTGAAGGTGAAAATTTAGTACAGAGATTTCTTTATTTTTTTCTTATTTTGAACAAGATTCCCATTCATGCAATAATTTTATCCACCTCCTGATTTTATGGATGTATTTTGCCATGAAATATATACAAAAAATATCATAAAAATCATTTTTGAAATTAATTATCAACTTGAGCATAAAAAGTAGTGTATTTATAATATGTTTACCCATAATTTTACATCAAAAAATGTTACAAACATTTCCAGTCACATACATCCAGTCACAAACATATTATCAAGGTACAGTACATTCGTGACGTGTACATTCCCCTTTTGTGCACTGTGTGTTTACTCCATAACTACTTTGACCCTAAGGTTAACTTGGCCAGTAAGCTAGGCTTACTCTACGTTTAGTACTGATTGTTGAAAAGCAGGCTATACAGCCTAAGTCAGAGTTAATTTTTATCAGACTTTGTAAAATACTTCTTATATCAATAGTTTAGGCCTCCTATATTTTTTTAAATTTTTAATAATGATAAAAACTGTCAGACATGTTTCCCCTACAATTTATTATTAGGAGGAATCAGTAAAACAAATGTTAAGCTTCTATTCACAACACAACAACATATTCTCTGTTGTTAGTATTGTGAGAACAAAAATTTTAACCATTGTTTTATTTAAATACTGACATGATCTAGTATTCAGATAGGGTGAATCATCATTGTTTGTTTGTATCTTAATGGTAGTCGCGCAAAAATATTGTTCTGTTAATTAAATCTTTTATTGGTCATTTTAAATTGCATTCTGGGTAATTGATGTCATATGTAGAATATCAGCCCAGTAACCGTTTCATGTGGAGTCAAAAATGCAGTTGCAATGCGGTTCTTACATTATCTTGCTAATCTCATAGTAAAATGCCAGGGGCGGAAGCAAGGGGGTGCAAAGGTTACGGTCACACCCCTCTAAATTCTATTAGGAAAAATAGTTGTGTATTGTTGATATGAATTATTGGTAAGATTTTTGGTATGAGTGTGCAATTTCCTGGCACCCAGAGCTCGATATTCTCAAAATTTTCGCGCCTCGGGCTTAGGTGATGTAGACTATTCACGGACCCATGGGCTCGGATCACTGGGGAAAATGACACAGGTTTTGGCGAAAGAGCGCAGAAGGCCTACAGCCAGAGTACATCTTATTTTATAAATAACCGAATTACTCTGAGTGTATTTTCTATGGTACCGTACATCACACATTAGATCTCTGTGGTTGCCGAAAATAGCTGATGAAGGATCATGAGCGTTTGTAATTGGCGCTTCCTTTTGACTATATTATAATGGTGATGTGATGATGGTGAATTTTACTATTTAAAAGTGTCATTTCTAGAGGTACTATTCTTTAATTTTCTCACCTCAGCCCTTTCTCATCTCTCACAAATAGTTAAGATGCATGTCACAGAGTTCACTATCTTTTTATTAAAATGTTATCGTTTTTAGGCAGGCGCAGACCCGAACTATACACTGAGGTCAGGAAAGACATTGTTGCATGAAGCCTGTGTTTTAGGCCATTATCATATAGTATTGCTACTTTTGGACTTTGTTGAAGATGTTGATAGCATTGATAAGGAAGGTCAAAATGCATGCCACACAGCAGCTTATCATGGAGAGAATGAGTGCCTCACTTTGCTAGCTGACAAAGGTATAAAGTAAAACTTGTTATAATTCTAGTTATTTCCATGGCACTCACACCTCTAATTTTATGGCCTATATAAAAAAAAAACGTACCTGTATTATAAAAATATTTACATAACAGTAAATACTTTGTGTTGGTGTTTACCTTTCTACTGTATTGTTTTATGTACCATAGTTCAAAGCTGTGTTTGCTTTACATTAATTTTGGTCAAAGTGACCAGGTACAGTACATGGTACAAATAAAATCCAATGCGAACGACCTGTGTAACATTCTCTAAGCAAGTTCAACTGAGTAAATGTGCTCAGGAAAAATAACCAGGCTGTTTTTCCTGTGCACAAAAGTCGGGTGTGAACAGTGTGACTCGGTTAATAAATCTTCCTGATAGTAATGCGCATTATTATATTTCTTTTCTGAAATTTTTACTGACCACACATGCCCAAACTTCTACTAATTTTAAAACCTACTGCATATTAAATCCAAGTTCAAACAACAGTTTGATTTGATCAAGGTGAATTTAATCTTTATAATAATATAATAATAATAATATGTCTTTCTTATATAGCACTTCACATTACTACCGTGGTCATTGGATCAAACATATGGAACACATACTCCAAGTTAAATTATTGAATTAAATTATATTATTATTTTATATTATTGCAGCAGTAATCAGCGCATTTGTGTTGGAACCTACCAGGTACCCACTTGTACTCCTGGGTGGAGAGAGGCAAGGACACAAGCGATTTGCACAGCGCAAGTTTCAAACCCCGACCTCGAGGTTGGGAGTCCAAGCCACAACCGATGCACCAACTGCTTCTAGTGCTGTTAAAATTAATCCAATTCAAACAGAGCTTTCAGTGGTACCTTGTTTTCAGATGTAGAATTTAAATATGAATTTTTACACTCCAAAATATAAATCTAATTAATTAATTACACAATAATTGCGGAATGGAGATGTAGCTTGGTGGTTATGTGCTTGCCTTCCAATTTCAGGGTCTTGGGTTCAAATCCTGTGACAGCACAGTATATTTTTTCACGGCTAAAAACATCTCCACTCCCTAAGCCTCGTAATCAGACTTCACTAATAAAATCATCACGAGGGCAGCTGACTTAAAGAGTTATAGGGATTCATTTGCTTAAGCTGGCACCGATCATTTCTTTGCTGATCGAGTAAATAAAATGAAAGTAAAACAAATTATTTATTTTATTTCAGAGGACCCCTGAATCTTCTACAATATGCTGTATAGGGTCACCCCTTATAGTAAAAAAAACAATTGGATTATTGCTACTCAATATACATTTGTAGTATAATGCTTACAGTACAACACAAATGAATTCATTTTATAGGAGCTGACTGTACACTTGCTGACAATAGAGGGCGGTCACCAGCTCACCTGGCAGCGCAGAAAAACCATCCCAAAATCCTGGAGAGCTTAGCTGAACGAGGTGTTGATATTGAAAGTGGTGACAAGAATGGAAAACGACCAGTACATTATGCTGCAATGCATGGCGGTACTGTACTTTTTTTATTTCTCTCTTTTTTCGGGGAAAAATCTTGATGTTGACAAGCTACTAATTTGATGTATTACTAAAGTTTCTCCTGGACCTTTCTAATGCATGATGGGCTTTTAAAAGGAACTGATGCTAATTCACCATTAAAAGCAGTATTTTATGGCTATATAAAGTGATTCAATTCCAGCCACAGCATTCTGATGGGCAGGGTAATGTTATGTTCCTCAGAAAACATAATGCGAGTTACCAGGGGTGATTTAATGTTATTTGTCAAAACTCAGATTATGAATTAATAACTATTCAGTATTTGTCTTCTTTCAGTGTGACTCTTTGAATCAATAACAACACAGCCTACAGTATTGTATATGGTTTTCAATAACAACACAGCCTATTGTATGGTTTTCAATAACAACACAGCCTACAGTATTGTGTATGTTTTCAATAACAACACAACATATGGTTTTCTTTCTCACCAGGTTTAGAGTGTCTGGTAAAATTACTACAGTGTGACTGTGATACATCAATCCGCGACCATTCAGGTTGCATGGCGGCTCACTATGCCGCAGCTTATAACCACATTGAATGCCTGCGTTTTTTAGTAAAGCATGGTGCTGCCTTCAGCAGCTTGGATTCATCAGGAAAAACATTAGCCCATAGTGCTGCTCAGAATGGGGCCATGACATCCCTTCATTGGCTACTTGAAAAAGGTGCAGAGACAAATGATCAAGATGGTAAGACCATGAAAACTTTTTTTATTATATTCTACAGTTTTTAACTTGTGGTTTTTCAGAAAAATTGATATGTGTTTATTCTATATCTATGTTAGTATTGTAAGTGGAAGGTTATATAACTCTCCTCCCAAAAACTAAACAATTGAAATATTTCTTTCCCACATTTCAAAGATAATCATACTTGGTATGAGGTAATATTATTTCCTCCTCAGTGCAGGATAAAGTAACTAAACTTTCATGTTGTATGAATCAAGTTACTTGATGTTGAATGCTAACGAAGTAAATTCAAAATGATATTAGTGTAAGGTGGCAGTAGATTACACAAAGATTCAAGATTCAAGAAATTTTATTTTTTCATATAAAAATACAGAAAATTGCATTGCTTGGCAGATGACAAAAAATAAAATGAATACATACAGTACCAAGTTAAACAAGAAGGTGCAAAAAGAGCCATACAATTTACAATAAAAATAATAAGGAAAGACAGTTCAAAAGTTAAAACCCAATAAAATGTCTTAAAACACAATAACTACTGTACATATTTATTTATTCTTTTGCTCTGATATTGTTGTGCTTGCCAGTTTTCCAGATATAACAATTTCATTTAGGTTTCAACATTTCAAGGTCCTTTATTGTTGCAAATGCCATCAAGGGCCATTATCCGTTTCGTAACTACTTACTATGTATTTATTACAATCAGAATAAATAATCCGACTGCATCACTGGCTTGATTTTCTCATTTATACAGGCAATGGTAATACACTGGGACACCTTGCAGCTGCAGGTGGACATGCAAAGTGTTTCAACTGCTACCTCCAACATGGTGGTAGTTTAGAATTAACCAATAAACGAAATGAAACAGTGTTGGACATTGCAAGGAGATTTGGACATCCACTGCTTATGAACAGGGCCTGTAAGTTTGTAAATAGTACTTACTCCCATTATTTTTTCTATTACCTTTCACATCCAACGGCTTAATGTTACATGTACCATGTATATAACTTCTCAATTACAAGGTAGAACGATGTTTTAGAAACCAAGTCTCTTGTAGTGACGCAGATTACTGTAACATATATTGTATGGCCTTCTGCAAAAATCAGTAAGCTGTATCTACTTCAAAACTTGGCTAAACGCTTGGTTTCAGGTGTATCAAAGTACGGACATATCACCCCTTCATTGCAACAACTTCACTATTTACTGTACAAGTTAAACAGCGAATTATTTTCAAGGTGCTGCTATTTGTATTTAAATCCAGTGGCGGCCCATAGGTTAAAATGTAGGGTAGGGCTAATGGCTGCTTGTGGGAAAATTTCCATCCAGCCTACAGTCACTGCATTCTATATAGTTAAAATACAAATACAGTATTTATTCGAATAGATGCCACATCTGGAATAAACGCCTCCTCCAATACACGGGGCGTTTATTTTTTCCTCCAATACATGCCTCCTAAATGATTGTATCCCATGCCTTTCTCGATTAAACGCTCCCTTAAAACCCCTTCTCAACAATAAATGCCCCGAGGCGTTTATTTGAATAAATACTGTATATTGTTTTAGTTTCTTCTCAAAAGATGTCTATTCCAGCAAGTTTAACAAGGTACAATCTAATTTATACAATTAAGTTTCTTCTTTACCGATCGTCTGTATGCAGATCTAGTCACACTTTCATCATTGAAATTTTAGAATTTTTCAGGCAATACATATTACCTAGGGATTTAGCTGCACGATATTTTATTGCTTGAAGAGGAAGAGTTCAATTTATTTATAAGAGAACTAAGCTTATAACTTGGTTTATATCATTTGTTTTTTTTAATTAAATAAATTTGCAATTTTATTCAAATTTTGTGTCTCATTGAAAAGTGATAACTAAAATTGTTATCATTGTGAAAGAGTTAATTGCAGTAGAACCCCTGTTAAGGGGACACCTTCAGGACCAAAAAAGTGTCCCCTTAATAGGGGTGTCCCCTGAATAGGTATGTTGTAGAAGTGGATTTGGTACAGTGGGAATGACATGATTTCCCAACCTCGACTTTGGGGTTTCAGTCCCTCACTGTACTGTACATTTCGGGTGTGCCCTTGAGCTGAGGCACTTTATCTGTATTGCTTCTCCTATAATCACCTGTCTTGTTGGGCTCGTAGGTAGATCATACAGGCCCGTATGGTACATGTTATGCCCTCCCAATTTCATCAAACCATCACTGCATGGGTTCTATCCACCCAGGAGTATAAATGTGTACCTGCTGCGGTTGTCTACTCCTGCAATGTTTTGTGTTTACAAAGAAAAGGCGCTGTATAAATAATATAAATAATAATAATGATGTTAAATTATAACGTTGAATGAATTGTTCTAAAGTCTCAAACAGAATGGTAGCTTCTGTCAATGTGAAGCAAAAGCATTACTCTCCATAGTCTACAGGAAGCTAACTGTTGAGTCAACGTATCAGCGATATGCTGAGGGTTTCCCTGACACCAACAAGACACTGTCGTCAGCACAAACAATATGCCAACGACAGTGCAAATTGGTAATGAGATTGTCTCCTTGGCTTATGTTAAGCATTTCAAAAATATTTAAAAATTATTTATTGCCACTGTTAAAATCATATGTGTGTTATGCTTATGCCACTTTTGTAGACTTTTTGTGAAGAATAGGCGAAGAGATTATGACCAAAAAGTCCTCTAAAAATCGTCGAGGTGGCAATGGAAGTACTACCGGCTAATATTGATATTTTTGGAAAATATAGGTCTTGAGAAGTTCAGAACTCAAAATTACCCAGAATCCCTTTGGGGAAGACCTTCAAACGACGCATTCAAAATGGCCGCCTTTTTTCATTTTAAATCAAGATAATATTTTAATTCAGGTTAAAATGACATTACTCAAAAACAAACATTCAATTATACCTGAAATTTATTTTATTAACATTTTAACAGAATATTAGGGTACAAAAGATATTAAAAAGGTTGCCCGTCGGGACACACCCTATTTATTTTTGGTTGCCCGACGCAAATATGTGGTTGCCCTGGGACGTCAGGCAGGCGATTCTGCAAGTCCTGATTAAATTGTTAGCCTTGACAATTGTTCGTGAATCAGTAAAATCTTTAGACCTCCTCTTTAAATGCTCCATAAATGATTACATTTATAATGCACGGTAGTTAAGTCGCAGGATTTTCCTAGGTGACAGCTACCGGAGCTGACCCAGAATACTGGCACCAAGATACCTCTGTGTATACGGCAGAGATGGCAACGCCATTTCATCATCTGGAGAGCGCATATTCCTTCACTTGGCGAAAGATCAACTTATTTTAGTATATATAATGTGTGTGTGTGTGTGTATAAAAGCGATTTCCACCCCTAATTTGCATATTTATGCTAATAAGGTCGACAAAATGGCACTTCCGGTCATTTTTGAAGAAAATGTTCCATTAGAGTAAATAGAAACATGCATGTTCTGAACAACTTTAAGAAAGAAGCAACTTTCTACATGTGGTTACCAAGATATAAGTACCCTACATTTCCAGACCTAATTTGCATATTTTAGCTAATTTGCGTATGAAGATGAGCGTAAACAAATTGGTGACTCATTTTATTCGATTCAGCATACTTCAAAGTATATATTTCATCCAAAAAACTAAAATGATCACAAAAATACCGCGGGAGCCTATTTTTGGACATATGTTCAATAAAGTTGGATTTAATCAGTAACTACGTGCACGAGTACATTAAAGATAGGGTATGCAGTTGGCAACCCATGTGGAGGTAGGTCCCGGTATAGCTAGAGAACTGGCCAAGTTCGTGAAACCGTATTCAATTTTAATTATGGTAGGCATATATATATATATGTATGTATGTATGTATATATATATATATATATATATATATATAATATATATATATATATATGTGTGTGTGTGTGTTATGCCATAAATAAGATGCTCACGAATATAGATTTATCATATGTTTATCAGAATGCAAATGAATGCCAAGCCTTTCACATTGAGATGTTAAGTTTATCACGAATTTAATGTATGGATGTTAGTTATTAATATGCCTATTTCTTATTGGAAAGAAAGGATAAAGCCATTCATATGTTAAACATGAGATTTTATCTGCATGTTATTAGCCCGATGTTATTGCTATTTGTGCGGTGCACAGATAATTTCTGCGAAGCAGCCAATTTATATTCTTGACAGCAATTTTACCTCTGAAAGTCATTGTTTGTCAAAAAACAAGGGCCTAAGACGACTGAAAAGCGGGTTTTCCTTCTTTCGTTCTGCCGGGTAAAATCAATTACTTTAGGCGACGTTTGTAGACTAACCTACACGTACCAACGTCCGCATGTCGCGACGCTTGAGTATTACTATTCAGCGTTTTTACTATATTTCTAGGTTTCCTATTTCTACGTTTAATCGGCCCAAGTCTCAGCCATATTTTGAGGCCAATATTATTTACGAACCCAGTTAAACTTGTTTACTAGCCTATTTCAGCGTGCTAATTATTAAATTTAGGCGACGCTTGTTGTAGACTGGCATACACGGTACCATCGCTCGTTTTTACTATGTTTCTACGTCAGCTCGTCAGTGTTCTAATATAGACAATGGGTTGTGTCTCATATTTTATTGGTGATCCGCTCCGCTAGCGGATCACCTCTTGTTATTGTCCGAGATCTTTTTTTTTTTCATTCTAGGTTCTCCCCATTTCTTGTTAGCACGATATCTAAAAATTGGCACGAGTTTCATACATGCACGCTTCAACAAACATTTAGCTTAGCCTGGAATAGTCACAATAAGGTTTTCAAAGTGCGCAGTTATGCGTGTCGTCATCTACGCGCAATTTTGCATTTTTACATTATCGATCATATCAGCCTAACAAATTGGCATTTCGAAATCGTATTAAGTGAGCATAAACTTCAAGTCAATGCTGAATGTAATTTACCCTAATTTTACGCGTGCGCGTCATAACGCGCGCGTACGCGTGCGTCAAACTTTTAAAATGCTCGAAATCACATTTAGATTAAATTAAAGCACGTTTCAGGCCATTTTGAGCATTTCAAATTTTTTTTAAATTTACTATTACGCGTGCGCATTTTTACGCACGCAGCACGTATGGAAGCTATAAATTATTATTTTTTTTTTTTGTCACATTTTGGGTTTCTGACATTGTTTTGACAGGTTTTCAATCTTTTCAATCACTCTATGGCCAATAACAATGCCGTACGCGCGCATCAAACATAGTGACCTTTGTGCGCATTTGTGCCGATATACAGTGAAATTTTGCTGAAATCTGGCCTAATTTTAAACAGATTATGACGTCATCATATTGCCATCTGAATTCAACAAACTGAATATTATCGATGACCTCATTTTAGCAAATGCGCATTTGAGCGTATCTCGCTTATTCTTGATCGATTATCTTCCCACTTTGAGTATGTTGTAGCTGAGGCAAGTATAGGGTTTTGCTTACCCCCCTCATCTTTCTTTCGTCCAGCCTTTGATGACCCCATAATCACCTTAATCAGTCGTGATTTTTGAATCATATTTAGTGGGTATAAACTTCAGGTCATGGTTAAATGTTAGGAACATTATATTTTTGTGCGCATGTAATAACGCGAGCGTTCGCGTGCGTCAAAATTAATATATGCTTTATATCATGTCTTTTTTTAAATCAGTTATAATGTGACCCCTAACTTTTATTACATATTCTGAAAGCACATGAGCTGTAGATATGATTTTATATACCAAAATAGCTGATCGGACATTGTGACGTTATCATATTGCCATCTGATTTTAAAAACAAGAAAAAAATATATTTCTTTTCTTAAAACGTTGATGACGTCATATAATCTTAACCATTCGTCATTTCTGAATAATATTAAATGGGCTTATACTTCAGATCAAGTTTGAATGTTCGGTATCTTACTTTTTTGTTTGCGCGTCTTAACGTGCGCGTACACGTGCGTCAAATATTACATATGCTTATAATTA